AGGTTTTAGGTAGTTATATATAAGCAAAATTGCCTTCCCGACATTTTTAATTAACCTACCCGAGGTAGGTTTAGACTCCCGTTTTTTGTATTTTTCAGGTTCTTTGTTTTTATATCTTGTTTTGCTTTGCCGGCGATCATCAAAATTCTATAATTTGATTGGTCAAATATCACGTGATTCTGCTCCGCTTTAGACGACTCCTATTTGGATTGAATTCTGATATTTATTCCCCCAACATTTAAGACGATATGTTTTTGTATTGACAATCGCCACTCCCCCACTCACCTTTTACATCATCTCTTTTATGCTCTTTATTACATACGAGACAGGTTTTTCGTGATTCTGGTTTCATTTCCTTCTAAAGCTTGTCTTAATTCTGAATTTTCACGCTTAACTCTAGCATTCTCGTTTTTAAGTTCCGTATTCTCTGCCTGAAGCTTAGAATTCAATTCTTCCAATAAATCGATTTTGATTGTATATTTGCCATTGTTTTATAGAATATGCGAATATATTCAAAATAAAAAAAATGTGTCCGTTCCAATTTGGAACAGAGATTACATTTGCTAAGAAAAAATTCACAATCATATATGCGTAACATCAATATATCAGAATAAAATACACATGCAAAAGTAAACATGATTATGTATGCGAAATTCGACCACTAGGGTCAGCTTTATTGATATGAGAATAAAAATGAAATACAATATAATTCTAAAAAATATATTCTATTGTTCTATATAAGATGGACTTAGTTTTCATCATCACTAGTTACATTGGAACTTTTTCGCTTATTTCTTGAGGACTTGATTTTTAATGAATGATGTAATAAAGATAGATTGACAATCAAGATGTTTCGTAGAAGTAAAAGTGCTTCTACAAAACGTAATACATCATTACCATTACATGGCCTTACCGGAATTTTAACAGAACATAAATGATAAAGTCGATGGATGTCATCTCTATCTCTAATGAGAACATTTAAACGCATTTCATCCCCCGCAAAATTTGTATACCGATGATCCCAAATTCATCTTTATCGGGCTTACAGGTTTTGTGAACATAATACATTCCGTCGTTCATTTCTCGCCATAATTTTACTTCATCCTCTTTTTTCTTATTATCATTACAAATCAGGCGAGAACATTCAGCGAATAGAAGTTCATGTAGCTTCTCATGATGCTTTTCTATAAGCATAATATCAGGACGTTTACCCTGTTTTCCATCAACTGCACTTCTATCAGCACTGGCTAAGCTTTGTCTTTCAGCCCTGAAATAATAAAAAAAATATATATAAATTAGTTGCTTGTTTATTTTAATAAATAAAATTTTTATCAAACTTACGTGCTGAGAAAAGCATGTTTTTTGGTCGGAAGTTTTTTTAATGCACTTCGAATAAGGGGCATTATTACATCTGTTATGTATGTACCTTCACTTTGACCTTCTGCAAACTCTGCGTCGAAGGCAGGATTTCGCCAAATATCACCTAAGGAATAGAGAATTTCTTCGGTAATATCTGATAACACCTCCTCTCTTTCCTTCCATGTACTATTATGAGAAAACTTCGGTGGTAAAGCTTCTACGTTATCATTATGAAAATTTTCAGCAAAATTATTACATATATTTTGTATGTTGGAAGGTGTTTGAACTTGCATTCGCTGTTTGAGTTTCATAAAAGACTGTTTGGGTCCCCAGCTTAAGTTTTTAACTAAGTCAGATTCATCACTGATTACTTTACTAGCTAGTGGATTCTCCCAAGTTGTTTAGCTCTATTTGTAATTCTTCAGCAAATGGAGAAGAACATGCCTTAAAATTATTAAAAATATCGGGTATTAGCAAAGCATGCGTTTACTACAAAATGAAAGTAGTAATATATGCATTTCTATATTTACCCCAAGTTGTTTTTTTAAATCAGCTATATTACGACTGATTTCTCGGTCAGTAAGAGAAGTTCTTTCTATTCTTATTTTATAAACACTACGAATACCTTCGAAGGCATCGTCGAACTGGCGCAAAAACAGATATATATTAGATTTTTCAATACTCATAAATATACTTTCTATCACAAGCTTGTGTCATCAGAGTAATATATAATAGGGTTGCAATTTCTCTGTGGCCTACAGATCCATGCCTCCCCATTTTTCTGCATATGAATTTTAAAATTTGTAAGACTAAAGCCAGAGTGTCCTCATGCGTCCGCAGGCGTTGAAGTCCCGGTACTAGCAGACTAATGGACACCCAGGATTACCACTATTTCTTATAGAGTTGAATCTATAATAATAGGTTAGCAGGCTTTCCCCTTGACTAAAGCCTCCACAAATTCGAAAATCCAATATTGGAAAGGCGCCATTCATCAGATGATACATCTTGGAAGACATAATCTGATAAAATTACTAACCTGTGTTTGAATTTTCTGGAGCCTATTTAATGCATCCAAATCTCCTGAGTACATATCTTTTGTTTCAGAAACAGCTCTGTTTATTACTTTCTCAAATGCTCTCGTTGAATCAATGGCTCATCTTCCATTACTTCATTAAGAACTGAATATGGTGTGATACAATCTATCGGAAATGTGGTGAGGAAATTAAGAACTTTTTTAAAATTTGGGTCAGACATGTTTTGGAAATATGAACAGTATATATCGATATGTATATTAATATCAAGAAATAAAAATCACTAATAAGCGACAAATGACAATAAATTCGAGTACTTCCGCTAATCTGAGATTCAAAAAATTGGGGTAGAGGAGGTGGTGCTTGTTTTCGTTGTTTTCGGAACTATACGGATTAGGGCCTAATTGTTAAAAAATATTACATATAAGGGCCCAGATCTATTGATGGCTGAAAAAACGTGATCATTGGATTATTGCGCCACAAGTAATATGACCGTTTACTTATAACGATTGCAAAATCGCGATTATAGGATTATCGATTGTTTTATTATATACCGATTATTAGATAAAAGGATAAATGATGCTCTGATTATAATCATTTTTGCTTAAATATTGTATAAAAAAT